TGCATTGATGAGCATTAGTTAACGAGCTGCATTAATGAGCATTAGTTAACGAGTTGCATTAACCAGCATTAGTTAACGAGCTGCATTGACCAGCATTAGCTAACAAGCTGCATTGATGAGCATTAGTTAACGAGCTGCATTGATGAGCATTAGTTAACGAGCTGCATTAATGAGCATTAGTTAACGAGTTGCATTAACCAGCATTAGTTAACAAGCTGCATTAATGAGCATTAGTTAACGAGCTGCATTGACCAGCATTAGTTAACTAGCTGCATTGACCAGCATTAGTTAACGAGCTGCATTGATGAGCATTAGTTAACGAGTTGCATTAACCAGCATTAGTTAACAAGCTGCATTAACCAGCATTAGCTAACGAGCTGCATTGATGAGCATTAGTTAACGAGTTGCATTAACCAGCATTAGTTAACGAGCTGCATTGACCAGCATTAGTTAACGAGCTGCATTAACCAGCATTAGTTAACGAGCTGCATTGACCAGCATTAGTTAACGAGCTTCATTGACCAGCATTAGTTAACGAGCTGCATTGACCAGCATTAGTTAACGAGCTGCATTGACCAGCATTAGTTAACGAGCTGCATTAACCAGCATTAGCTAACGAGCTGCATTAAAGAGCATTAGTTAACGAGCTGAATTGACCAGCATTAGTTAACGAGCTGCATTAAAGAGCATTAGTTAACAAGCTGCATTAAAGAGCATTAGTTAACGAGCTGCATTAAAGAGCATTAGTTAACAAGCTGCATTGACCAGCATTAGTTAACAAGCTGCATTAACCAGCATTAGTTTAACGAGCTGCATTAACCAGCATTAGTTAACGAGCTGGCATTGACCAGCATTAGTTAACGAGCTGCATTAACCAGCATTAGTTAACGAGCTGCATTAATGAGCATTAGCTAACGAGTTGCATTAATGAGCATTAGTTAACGAGCTGCATTAAAGAGCATTAGTTAACGAGCTGCATTAAAGAGCATTAGTTAACGAGCTGCTTTAAAGAGCATTAGTTAACAAGTTGCATTAAAGAGCATTAGTTAACAAGCTGCATTAAAGAGCATTAGTTAACGAGCTGCATTAACCAGCATTAGTTAACGAGCTGCATTAACCAGCATTAGTTAACGAGCTGCATTAACCAGCATTAGTTAACGAGCTGCATTAACCAGCATTAGTTAACGAGCTGCATTAACCAGCATTGGTTAACGAGCTGCATTAATGAGCATTAGTTAACGAGCGGCATTGATGAGCATTAGCTAACGAGCTGCATTAATGAGCATTAGTTAACGAGATGCATTGACCAGCATTAGTTAACAAGCTGCATTGATGAGCATTAGTTAATGAGCTGCATTAATGAGCATTAGTTAACGAGCTGCATTAACCAGCATTAGTTAACGAGCTGCATTGACCAGCATTAGTTAACGAGCTGCATTAATGAGCATTAGTTAACGAGCTGCATTAACCAGCAATAGTTAACGAGCTGCATTAACCAGCATTAGTTAACGAGCTGCATTGATGAGCATTAGTTAACGAGCTGCATTAATGAGCATTAGTTAACGAGCTGCTTTAATGAGCATTAGTTAACGAGTTGCATTGACCAGCATTAGTTAACGAGCTGCATTAAAGAGCATTAGTTAACGAGCTGCATTAATGAGCATTAGTTAACGAGCTGCATTAATGAGCATTAGTTAACGAGCTGCATTAAAGAGCATTAGTTAACGAGCTGCATTGACCAGCATTAGTTAACAAGCTGCATTAAAGAGCATTAGTTAACGAGCTGCATTAAAGAGCATTAGTTAACGAGCTGCATTAACCAGCATCAGTTAACGAGCTGCATTAACCAGCATTAGTTAACGAGCTGCATTAACCAGCATTAGTTAACGAGCTGCATTAAAGAGGCATTAGTTAACGAGCTGCATTAAAGAGCATTAGTTAACGAGCTGCATTAACCAGCATTAGTTAACAAGCTGCATTAACCAGCATTAGTTAACGAGCTGCATTAACCAGCATTAGTTAACGAGCTGCATTGACCAGCACAAGTTAACAAGCTGCATTAACCAGCATTAGTTAACGAGCTGCATTAACCAGCACAAGTTAACGAGCTGCATTGATGAGCATTAGTTAACGAGCTGCATTGACCAGCATTAGTTAACGAGCTGCATTGACCAGCATTAGTTAACGAGCTGCATTGACCAGCATTAGTTAACAAGCTGCATTAACCAGCATTAGTTAACGAGCTGCATTGACCAGCATTAGTTAACGAGCTGCATTGACCAGCATTAGTTAACAAGCTGCATTGACCAGCACAAGTTAACGAGCTGCATTGATGAGCATTAGTTAACGAGCTGCATTAACCAGCATTAGTTAACGAGCTGCATTAACCAGCACAAGTTAACGAGCTGCATTGATGAGCATTAGTTAACGAGCTGCATTGACCAGCATTAGTTAACAAGCTGCATTAACCAGCATTAGTTAACGAGCTGCATTGACCAGCATTAGTTAACGAGCTGCATTGACCAGCATTAGTTAACAAGCTGCATTATCCAGCATTAGTTAACGAGCTGCATTAACCAGCACAAGTTAACGAGCTGCATTGATGAGCATTAGTTAACGAGCTGCATTGACCAGCATTAGTTAACGAGCTGCATTGACCAGCACAAGTTAACGAGCTGCATTGACCAGCATTAGTTAACGAGCTGCATTGATGAGCATTAGTTAACGAGCTGCATTAATGAGCATTAGTTAACGAGCTGCATTAAAGAGCATTAGTTAACGAGCTGCATTGACCAGCATTAGTTAACAAGCTGCATTAAAGAGCATTAGTTAACGAGCTGCATTAAAGAGCATTAGTTAACGAGCTGCATTAACCAGCATCAGTTAACGAGCTGCATTAACCAGCATTAGTTAACGAGCTGCATTAACCAGCATTAGTTAACGAGCTGCATTAAAGAGCATTAGTTAACGAGCTGCATTAAAGAGCATTAGTTAACGAGCTGCATTAACCAGCATTAGTTAACAAGCTGCATTAACCAGCATTAGTTAACGAGCTGCATTAACCAGCATTAGTTAACGAGCTGCATTGACCAGCACAAGTTAACAAGCTGCATTAACCAGCATTAGTTAACGAGCTGCATTAACCAGCACAAGTTAACGAGCTGCATTGATGAGCATTAGTTAACGAGCTGCATTGACCAGCATTAGTTAACGAGCTGCATTGACCAGCATTAGTTAACGAGCTGCATTGACCAGCATTAGTTAACAAGCTGCATTAACCAGCATTAGTTAACGAGCTGCATTGACCAGCATTAGTTAACGAGCTGCATTGACCAGCATTAGTTAACAAGCTGCATTGACCAGCACAAGTTAACGAGCTGCATTGATGAGCATTAGTTAACGAGCTGCATTAACCAGCATTAGTTAACGAGCTGCATTAACCAGCACAAGTTAACGAGCTGCATTGATGAGCATTAGTTAACGAGCTGCATTGACCAGCATTAGTTAACAAGCTGCATTAACCAGCATTAGTTAACGAGCTGCATTGACCAGCATTAGTTAACGAGCTGCATTGACCAGCATTAGTTAACAAGCTGCATTATCCAGCATTAGTTAACGAGCTGCATTAACCAGCACAAGTTAACGAGCTGCATTGATGAGCATTAGTTAACGAGCTGCATTGACCAGCATTAGTTAACGAGCTGCATTGACCAGCACAAGTTAACGAGCTGCATTGACCAGCATTAGTTAACGAGCTGCATTGATGAGCATTAGTTAACAAGCTGCATTGACCAGCACAAGTTAACGAGCTGCATTGACCAGCATTAGTTAACGAGCTGCATTGACCAGCATTAGTTAACAAGCTGCATTAACCAGCATTAGTTAACAAGCTGCATTGACCAGCATTAGTTAACGAGCTGCATTGACCAGCATTAGTTAACGAGCTGCATTGACCAGCATTAGTTAACGAGCTGCATTGATGAGCATTAGTTAACGAGGTGCATTGACCAGCATTAGTTAACGAGCTGCATTGACCAGCATTAGTTAACAAGCTGCATTGACCAGCATTAGTTAACGAGCTGCATTGATGAGCATTAGTTAACGACCTGCATTGACCAGCATAAGTTAACGAGCTGCATTGACCAGCATTAGTTAACGAGCTGCATTGACCAGCATTAGTTAACGAGCTGCATTGACCAGCATTAGTTAACGAGCTGCATTGACCAGCATTAGTTAACGAGCTGCATTGACCAGCATTAGTTAACAAGCTGCATTAACCAGCATTAGTTAACAAGCTGCATTGACCAGCATTAGTTAACGAGGTGCATTGACCAGCATTAGTTAACGAGCTGCATTGACCAGCATTAGTTAACAAGCTGCATTGACCAGCATTAGTTAACGAGCTGCATTGATGAGCATTAGTTAACGACCTGCATTGACCAGCATAAGTTAACGAGCTGCATTGACCAGCATTAGTTAACGAGCTGCATTAACCAGCACAAGTTAACGAGCTGCATTGATGAGCATTAGTTAACGAGCTGCATTGACCAGCACAAGTTAACGAGCTGCATTGACCAGCACTAGTTAACGAGCTGCATTGACCAGCACTAGTTAACGAGCTGCATTGACCAGCATTAGTTAACGAGCTGCATTGATGAGCATTAGTTAACGAGCTGCATTGACCAGCACTAGTTAACGAGCTGCATTGACCAGCATTAGTTAACGAGCTGCATTGATGAGCACTAGTTAACGAGCTGCATTGACCAGCATTAGTTAACGAGCTGCATTAATGAGCATTAGTTAACGAGCTGCATTGACCAGCATTAGTTAACGAGCTGCATTAACCAGCACAAGTTAACGAGCTGCATTGATGAGCACTAGTTAACGAGCTGCATTGACCAGCATTAGTTAACGAGCTGCATTAATGAGCATTAGTTAACGAGCTGCATTGACCAGCATTAGTTAACGAGCTGCATTAACCAGCACAAGTTAACGAGCTG